GAGAGAGAGAGAGAGAGAAAGAGAGAGAAAACACATGGCCAGCAAGCCACTCCCACAAAGGAAGCCACACCCACAGAGTAGGTTCCAAAAATTTTTGAAACCCACCACTGATTCAGAGCTACATAGGTAAGCCATGCCCAGGCTCCGAGCTGTCTGGCATAGCTCTCATTAGCAAATAGTTCCCATTGGCTGACCCAGTTGCCATGACCTATTCCAGTTCATGAATATTCTGACGACAATGGAGTGCTCTGATTAAGAAAGTCCAGCTCTAGCTAATTCATAGTTTTCGCAAAGCTTTCTCTTTCCATGGAATCTGTTGTCATGTTTGTACTGGTGTAGACACATTTGCAACTTAGTTAATGTAATAACTAAGAACTGCTTAAATCAAAAAGCATTATCAGCCAAGTGTCATGTCTGAGCAAGCAACAGTCCTAATCTTGTTGACCTATTTTCACAAGCGCTAATGCTCATAAACATTTACTAGGTGAATATATCAATCGAAATACATCTAATCAAAGGCTCATTAGAGTCATAAACCAGCATAGATCTAAACATATGTCTACTCTACACTCGCCATTAGCTGTTTCATTTAAGATTGCTTTCCTTCTAAATCTCATCCTGATTCTTTTATGTGAAATGATCTCCAGTGCAGAGAAGTCTCGACTGAGCAGAAATCGGAATGCTGGCTTTTTCCAATTTTCTTGGCAAATAAGATCTTCATCCTTCTTCTAGAAACCAACAAACTATGATGGATAGCTTTCTACCAGGTTTAAATCCTGTTGACAAATCAACAGATTTCTTATTTAGTCATGAGTATTAGCTCTGCGCTGTAATCCCATTACCATTGTTGCTTAATATTGCCTGTCTATTACTGCTCAAGAACCCGGAGGAAGAGCAGTAGACTTTGGAGACCAATTGTTTCAGAGTAGATGGGATCTTGGTGACCATTGTTTAATGAGGTAAACTATATTACAGCCAGCATTAACTTGGCAGCAGTTCATGCCACTATATTATGTTTAACCTGGCTATCTGCCATGGAAAACAATGAGCTGTGGTGGCACAGTGGTGAGAGTGCAGTACTGCGGGCCACTTCTGCTGACTGCCGGCTGACTGTAATTTGTCAATTCAAATCTCACCAGGCTCAAGATTGACTCAGCCTTCCGTCCTTCCGAGGTGGGTAAAATGAGCACCCAGATTGTTGGGGGCAACAAGCTGACTCTGTAAACCATTTAGAGAGGGCTGTAAAAAGCACTGTGAAGGGGTATATAAGTCTAAGTGCTATTGCTATTTCGAAACACATTTCTGATATAAGCCTGAGAACATGAAAGACTTTTGAGTCTGGTTACACAGTCTATAAGGCTTTCACTCGGGCCAAAAGCTTATAAATAATGTCAAGGGTTTTATTTGTACTTAGTTTTTTCTTTTCCTTTTATACAATATGTGATTATCAAATTTTGAAGTACAGGCATATGAAGGGCACAGACTAAGTGCACACACTTAACTTAGCTACGGATTATTTTTTCTGCACAAGGCAGGGAGCTAGGGCTTCAGAAAATGACCGCAATTCATCTAAATATATTACTTAAATCCAGTTGGGCCATTGCAAGATGGCCCAACTGGCCATTGCAAGGGAACTGAGGCCTCAGTTCTCAAGATCAGCTTGTTCTGCTTAACATNGAGAGAGATATATATTTCATCACTGATTTCACCCCTGCTTCAACTGTCATACTGTAGGACGTGGTAGTCTTAACTACAGCTTGCAGAAAATCATTTATGCTACGCAAACATTTAATTTCCAGCCAGACAAAGATGTCTACCTTTTTCACTTCCCCAATGTGCAGAAGGCTGAAAATGTCTCTCTGGACTCCCCGTCTTTCTGTCCACTTCTTCAACTGCCACTTGATGGAAAAGCAGCTTGCCTTCATTAGCGTGGGCCCGAGAAGCTCTAATTGACAGGATGTGTTCATCCTGAGCTAGCAAATATCAAGACATCGGATGTGGGGCCGGATGGAGACTGCCTGGAAGGTCAACATTGGCACCTGCAGGGACAGATTCAATCCAGGCGCCGGGAGCTTGGCAGATAATATTATTAGTGTCAGAATCCTGGGAGGGGCTGAGTTCACTCAAATGGCAGAACCAGAGATACAATTTTTCGGCAGGCATCAGAAAGATTGACACACGGAAGGTCAAGAAATAGAACAAGTGTAGGAAGCAGCTATAGAATTTCCTCTCCGCAGAAAACTCCCGGGTTCAGTTCTGTCCACTTTCACGGAGCAGCACTTGCTCTGAGAAAACGCAGAGTTATTTTATAACAACTGGCTTTGAGTGATAGACTTTTTTCTGCCTCTTAACAATAGTGGTTACCCCAAAAAGCCGTACGCTGTAGAGAGACGGAACTGGTAAGAGTTGCTAAGTCTGAACTCGTGAGCCTCCAACTCTGTCAGCTCGTAGTCTAAATTGGCCCAGCACAAGGAACCAGCAGGAAGTCTAAACAATTAAGGCATCTTAGAGCCTCTTAAATGTTTTAAGGAGAACGGTTTCATTTATGAGTTGGTTGCTTTGCAACTCTTCTATAAAATAATTGTCAGAGTTTGTTGCAAAGATCACATCCAGAAAGCACACACTGATAACTGAGTCAGCAGGATTCATTAACTTCTTTATATACATAATAACAACATGAATAAATGTACAATACCAACAGCGGATTCTTCCAACGTGGTAGAAAGGGGAGATTGGTTTCCAGTTTCAAATTCAGAGAGCAGACTAGATTAGTTCTCTTGCACAGACTCAGAGCAGAAGTGGGTTCCTACCAGTTTGCACCAATTCGGTAGAACCGGTTTATCAAATTTACCAAACCGGTTAGAAGAGGTTCCACCAGTGGACCCGGAAAGCAGGCCACACCTACAGAAGAGGTTCCAAAAATTTTTGAAACCCACCACTGCCACAGAGAGAGAGAGAGAGAGACAGGCAGACTGACAGAGACAGAGACAGAGAGAGAGAGAGAGAGAGAGAGAGAGAGAGAGAGA